ATGCAGCCCACGAACCCGAATGCTCACACGTATGTTGATGGCACAGATGTCAAAACACATGGATATGCAATCACGCAGAACACTTTTCTGCAATAGTTTATTTGAACAGTCTTGTACATATTTCCCCTGTTACCAGTCTGCAGTGTGGAGTGTGGAGTGTAGCATGTGGAGTGTAAAGTGTAGAGTGTGGAGTGTAAAGTGTGGAGTGTGGAGTGTGGAGTGTAAAGTGTAGAGTGTGGAGTGTGGGGTGGAAAGTGTAGAGTGTGGAGTGTGGAGTGTGGAGTGTAAAGTGAGGAGTGCGGAGTGTAAAGTGTGGAGTGTGGAGTGAGGAGTGTAAAGTGTAAAGTGTGGAGTGTAGAGTGTGGAGTGTGGAGTGGAAAGTGGAAAGTGTAGAGTGTGGAGTGTGGAGTGTAAAGTGAGGAGTGTGGAGTGTGGAGTGTAAAGTGTGGAGTGAGGAGTGTGGAGTTTGTAAATTGTAGAGTGTGGGGTGTGGAGTGTAGAGTGTAAAGTGTAGAGTGTAGAGTGTAGAGTGTGGAGTGTAAAGTGTAAAGTGTAGAGTGCGCAGTGTGGAGTGTAAAGTGTGGAGTGTGGAGTGTAAAGTGTAGAGTGTGGAGTGTGGGGTGGAAAGTGTAGAGTGTGGAGTGTGGACGGAGTGTAAAGTGAGAAGTGTGGAGTGCGGAGTATAAAGTGTAGAGTGTGGAGTGTGGAGTGTAAAGTGAGGAGCGTGGAATGTGGAGTGTAAAGTGTAGAGTGTGGAGTGTGGGGTGGAAAGTGTAGAGCGTGGAGTGTGGAGTGTGGAGTGTAAAGTGAGGAGTGCGAAGTGTAAAGTGAGGAGTGCGGAGTGTAAAGTGTGAAGTGTGGAGTGTGGAGTGTAAAGTGTGGAGTGTGGAGTGTAAAGTGTAAAGTCTGGAATGTAAAATGTCAAGTGTGGAGTGTAAAGTGTGGAGTGTGGGGTGTAAAGTGTAGAGTGTGGAGTGTAAAGTGAGGAGTGCGGAGTGTAAAGTGTAAAGTGTGGAGTGTGGAGTGTAAAGTGTGGAGTGTGGAGTGTAAAGTGTAGAGTGTGGAGTGTGGCGTGTAAAGTGAGGAGTGTGGAGTGTGGAGTGGAAAGTGTGGAGTGAGGAGTGTGTAAAGTGTAAAGTGTGGAATGTAGAGTGTAAAGTGTAGAGTGTAAAGTGTAGAGTGTGGAGTGTGGAGTGTAAAGTGTGGAGTGTGGAGTGTAAAGTGTGGAGTGAGGAGTGTAAAGTGTAAAGTCTGGAGTGTAAAATGTCAAGTGTGGAGTGTAGAGTGTAAAGTGTAGAGTGTAAAGTGTAGAGTGCAAAGTGTAGAGTGAGGAGTGTGGAGTGTAAAGTGTGGAGTGTGGAGTGTAAAGTCTCGAGTGAGGAGTGAGGAGTGTAAAGTGCAAAGGGTAAAGTTTGGAGGGTAAAGTGTAAAGTGTGGAGTCTAAAGTGTAAATGGTGGAGTGTGGAATGTAGACTGTGGAGTGCGGACCTTCCCCCATAGACACGGCGACGCCACAGGAAAACCAGAGACCCGAGACAAGACACACGTATGCAGAAAAACACACATTTCGTACGAGACATCCTGCAATTTTAACATTTTCGAGACGTTAGCAAACAGGTTCGAATGTCACAAAGCGCCACGCCTGCCACGCAAAACGACATGACAACCTGCTTGGAAAACCTTCGGAAAGGAGAGGTTTTGCAGCTTCCCCCATTGACACGGCGACGCCACAGGAAAACCAGACACACGAGACGAGACACGTGGGTGCAGAAAAACAAGCATTTCCTACAAAACGTCCTCCAATTTTGATATTTTCGAACAGGTTGGAATGTCACGAAGTGCCACACCTGCCACGCAAAACGACATGACAACCTGCTTGGACACATTCGAATAGGAGAGGTTTTCCATCTTCCCCCATAGACACGGCGACGCCACAGGAAAACCAGCGACTCGAGCCAAGACACGTGGATGCAGAAAAACCAGCATTTCGTACGAGACTTCCTCCAATTTTCACAGTTGGCAACATGACAAAAGGGCAAGTTTTGCAGCTTCCCCCATAGACACGGCGAAGCCACAGGAAAACCAGAGACCCGAGACGAGACAGGTGGGAGCACCAAAACGAGCATTTCGTGCGAGACTTCCTCCAATTTTCACACTTTGTAGCTTCAAAATCGACGTTTTCCTACGAGTTTTCCTTAGAACCTGAAAATTTGCAACCTCAAAATTCGATGTTTGGTGCGAGGCTTCCGTCAATTTTCAGCACATCGCGCGAAATGCCACGCCTGCCACGGAATTTGCACCTTGTCGCCACTTGACGCAGCCCTGCCAATGCGATTTGCAATAAACACGCAACACGACACGTCTAAAGTGCTGCGCCTGCCACGAAAAATGCAACACATCTTCTGAAAACGTCGCAAAAGTATTGCGCCTGCCACACAAAGCGACTTTCGACACGTTACAAAACACGTCGGAATGTCACGAAGTGCAACCCTTGCCACGCGAAACGAAGCAACGAAACGTTGGAAACCTCCAAAAATCACCACCTCTGCAGAACTTACCATACGCACGGCCATACGGTCCTCACACGGACGGTTGCGGACGGTTGCGGAGGTTGCGGACGGTTGCGGACGGTTGCGGACGGTTGCGACCGTGAACGCAACGCCTAGCGAACACACCCTCAACCCCCAGACCCCCAGAGTGAAACGGGAACCCTTGCGACGCATTCGGGCAAAAACATCAGGAGCACCATGACCATTCCACAGGCCTTCGTGCACCAAAATGACAGGAGAAGTGACAAACAAGACAAGAGATGAGCAACTTTGCTGACGCCGCGCCAGAAAAACGGGAAACATCTAATGCATAGAGAATATGGAAAACAGTGATTTATGGCTATAGATTATAGACCAAGAGATTTGGCCAAACAAAACACGTAGGGAGGGCTGATAGTGCTTCATGACCTCGCGCACCTGACAAGCAAACATGTACAATCTCGAAAAGTGGATCTGCTGAATTTTCTGGTGATCTGCCGCATAGAAACTTGCTTTCCCTGACTTCTTTGACTTCCTTGACTTCTTTGACTTCTTTGATTTCTGCTTACTATGCTTACAAATGCTTACAATGCTTACATAACTTATATAACACCAGCCTTTACCTGGCACAGCCCACCTTGTTTTCACTTACCCGCTGCTCTTCGCAGAAGTGCCGAACAAGAGAAAGCTTCTTCTTGGTGAGCGCCTTGCAAAGCAAAGACAATACCAACAACGGTAGCAACAAACGAACAGACAGAGATACGAGCAAAGGACTCTTCCGTCTGGTCTGCCTCTATCCCACGCTCCTGTCCAGCAAGCGCTGCAATAGATCCTATAATATATCCTTAGTTGCGTTTCCAGGAAACCTGGTGACATTTGCAATGTTCCAAGGTACACAAAAAGGCAGACTTCCCATGACAAAGTTTTGGACTCAGCATCTGGCCGAACATGGTGGCACCAAAAATCATTGCCACAATTGCATACACCTTCTGAACTTGCGCAAGAAAAATCGGGAAAAGAAGACTTTGCAGCTTTACAAACAACATGTAGCAACTCTATGTGTATTCAGTGTATCGAAGCCAAATCTTTGCAAACCATATTGATACTTGGTATACTGTATGCTCATACTTAATGTATCTTAATGTTCACGGAGAAAAAGTAATCCACAAGCGCACCCTTTCGCGGTCACTCCGGGGGTGGATGTCGCCATAGCCTCCAAGAGTTTGACACAGTGCCACAGTCACGTGGTGCTAGACACGGTGCCACATAGATGCCTACTGTCGTCATCGTCGTAAAGGCCCAATATAAGGAGGCTATGTACCTTGCCAAGGAGGTGAAAAGGGCAACGGAAAAGATACTAATTGATACTAAATGCATAGTGACATGATGTTGAAAAAACAAAACATGATGCGCTGCATGTGGTCAGCAAGCCAAGGTGCTGGTCTAACTTGTTGTCAGGTTTTATGTTGATCTGCTCCCACCATGTTGTTCCTAACCTTAAGAAAAAGGAAACTGTCACGATCCTGTGAGATCACAGTTTCTGCTCGTGACCAGCCAAGGAAAGCAAAGAGTGCCGGGCAAAGCTGGATTACACTCCAATAATCCAGATTCGCATTGGTTGGCATCTGGATCGCCGTGGGCAGATACAAAGAACCTTTCAGCTAAAGTTCTGAATTTGACAATGCAAAACGAGCACCCAAATTTAACAATCTACAATTTAACAATCTACAAGACTTGAATGAAATAACACTGTCCCAAATGCTCCGGACCAAAAGCAGCCCAAAAAGTGCGACATCACCGTCAGCTTTGTTCCCAAGTTGATGCACCTTAGTCAACAACTAGGAGCTAGGAACTAGTCTCGTGTGCGACTGCATCGCACACATAGACTAAAAAATGTTCCAATTTATTGTTTTTTGAGAGACGCCTCAAAGTCAAAGGAGACAGGTCCAGCATGTCTTCGATCCTCTGCACAAGTTTGCCTTGGCTCTCACTTTCATACCCCAATCGCGAACAAACGATTAATGAGTGTTTTAATAACAGCAACACCCCGGGAAAAAAAACGTTTCGAGCAGCTTGATATAGGAAACAAGAGGCTCGAAGAAATAAAAAACATTAAATCTCAATGGGAAAAGGAACGAAGGGAAAAACAAAACAAGGAATAAAAAGAAAGACAATGACAATGAGTAAAAAAAAATTAAACAAATGGATGGATGGATGGATGGATGGATGGATGGACGGACGGATGGATAGATGGATGCGAATGAATGAATGAATGAATGAATGACTGACTGACTGACTGACTGAATGAATGAATGAATGAATAATTGATTGATTGATTGAATGAATGAATGAATGCATGAATGCATGGATGTGGATGAATGAATGAATGAATGCATGGATGGATGGATGAATGAATGAATGGATGGATGGATGAATGAATGAATGAATGAATGGATGAATGGAACGAATCAATGGAATGAATGAATGGAATGAGTGAAGGGAATGAATGAATGGAATGGAATGGAAGGTGGAATGGAACAAATGGAATGGAATGGAACGGAATGGAGCGGAACGGAACGGAATGGAATGGAACGGAATGGAACGGAATGGGACGGAACGGAACAGAATGGAATGGATTGGAAATGAATGAATGAATGAATGAATGAATGAACGAACGAACGAACGAATGAATGAATGAATGAATGATTCAATGAAGGAATCAATGAATCAATGAATCAATGAATCAATGAATCAATGAATCAATGAATCGATGAATGAATGAATGAATGAATGAATCAATGAATGAATCAATGAATGAATCAATGAATGAATGAATGAACGAACGAACGAATGAATGAATGAATGAATGAATGAATGCAGCATGAATGCAGCATGAATGCAGCATGAATGCAGCATGAATGCATGAATGCATGAATGCATGAGTGCATGAATGCATGAATGAAAGACCTCATGAACACAAAAATGATTGATTGAACAGATAGAAGACAAAAAAAGAGGTGAAAGGCAAAAAACATGAGAAATACTGAATGAAAACCTGAGGGCCAACGTGAATAAAGCAAAAAGACTAAAAAGGGACATGACCGGAAAAACGCAAAAATGACCAAAGAAGAATGAAAGAATGGAAGCGGATAGATGTGACAAGAAGGAAAGAATAAAAAATCAACTGAATGAATGAATGAATGAAAGGAAGGAAGGAATGAATGAAGGAATGAAGGGATCAAGGAGTGAAGGAATTGCGGAATGAATGAAGAATGAAAGCATGAAAGAATGAAAGAATGACAGAATAAAAGGATCAAGGATAAAGGAATACAGGATTGAAAAAATGAAAGAAAGAATCACTGACTGACTGACTGACTGACTGACTGACTGACTGACTGACTGAACTGACTGACTGACTGACTCAATGGATGGATGAATGAATGAATGAATGAATGAATGACATGACATGACATGAAATGAAATGAAACGAAATGAAATGAAACAAAATGAAATGAAACGAAACGAAATGAAATGGAATGAAAGAAGAAATGGAATGAAAGAATAAATGAAATGATTGGTTGATTGATTGATTGATTGATCGATTGATTGATTGATTGTTTGATTGATTGATTCATTGATTGATTGATTGATTGACTGATTCATTGGTTGATTGATTGATTGAATGAATGAATGAATGAATGGATGAATGATTGAGTGAATGAATGAATGAAAGAAAGAAAGAATGAATGCATGAATGCATGAATGCATGCATGCATGAATGAATGCATGCATGAATGAATGAATGAAAGAATGCATGAGTGCATGAATGCATGAGTGCATGAATGCATGAATGCATGAATGCATGAATGCATGAATGCATGAATGCATTAATGAATGCATGAATGCATGAATGCATGAATGAAGGAATGAAGGAATGAAGGAATGAAGGAATGAAGGAATGAAGGAATGCATGAATGCATGAATGAAGGAATGAAGGAATGAAGGAATGAAGGAATGAAGGAATGAAGGAATGAAGGAATGAAGGAATGAAGGAATGAAGGAATGAAGGAATGAAGGAATGAATGAATGAATGAATCAATGAATCAATGAATGAATGAATGCATTCAGAATGCATGAATGCATGAATGCATGAACGCATGAATGCATGAACGCATGAATGCATGAACGCATGAACGCATGAACGCATGAACGCATGAACGCATGAACGCACGAACGCATGAACGCATGAACGCATGAACGCATGAACGCATGAACGCATGAACGCATGAATGCATGAATGCATGAATGCATGAATGCATGAATGCATGAATGCATGAATGCATGAATGCATGAATGCATGAATGCTTGAATGCATGAATGCATGGAATGAATGGAATGAATGGAATGGATGGAATGGATGGAATGAATGGAATGAATGGAATGAATGGAATGAATGGAATGAATGGAATGAATGGAATGAATGGAATGAATGGAATGAATGGAATGAATGGAATGAATGGAATGAACGGAATGAACGGAATGAATGGAATGAATGGAATGAATGGAATG